ATTTTTTGCATATTCACGCCGGTAAATGTTGTTTAATACTGTTTATTATAAACATAACATTTACTTAAATATTTGTATCTATAAAACGAATGTATAAACATAATAATGTCTTAAAAATAATTGTCGAGCTTTGCATTTCATTATATATATATATATATATATATATATATATAGCTACTTCAACAATATTCAAAATAGAAATCAGATATCTCTATCCTAATATTTCTGGCATCTAAAAGAAACGAATAAAACACCAAAGGTAAAATGGAATATAGTAAATAAAACAAGAACTTGTAAAACCTGGGATGACCCATGCCTTTTATGCCTACACGAAAAACTACACATCATTACACTTCTAAATAATGAAAAATTATTAAACCATAGACAGGAGTTAACGGTTTTTTGCCGACATCAACAAACTTTCGCATTAAATAATTACCAAAAAAAAAAAAAAGTCTTAAAAGCTTAGCCAAATCATTAAATAGGAAAAACCCATTCTGAATTCGTCAAAAAACAACAAAAAAAAAAAAACAAATTGAAATTCAGTGCAATACGGATTGTATATAAAACACCCACTTGAATAAACAAATAAATAAATAGATAATCAGATGGACAATAATAAAAGACAATTCTCCAGACACATAACGACTTGTAAGCGCGCCATAAAAATATCCCTCACTGGGAACCAACTAAGGGGTGACCGCAAACATTAGCCTTAAAATAGATACCCTACCCAACCTCAGCAAAACCTCTCTGAAGATGATGAATCTATTGATAAGAATTAACTCTCTGACCACTTAACGAAGGCAAAATAGTCTAGCCACTCCCACAATAACGAATTTTGTAACGTACCATGCCTAAAAACACACGTAAACCGAGAGATAGCTTTTTCCTAAAATTTCGCTTGAAGAAGAAACGGGACTAAAACACCTCAATTCAACTTAATTTTAATAACTATTTGGATGGTTTCGGCTCTCGTTTTTGAAACACGAGAACTTTTATGTAGCGAAGGAATCATATTTTTAAACAAAAAATTATTATATATATATATATATATATATATATATATTTTTTTTGTTTAAAAAAATATATATATATATATATATATATATATATATATATATATATATATATACACACACGTTTTGGAAGGAGGACACTTGGGAGCCAAATAAAATCTTTCATTCAAGTAATTTTTCACTTCCTTCTGATTACCAACCAACCCTATAACCACTTGTAAATCGACCTCATTTTTCATCCGCTCTTTACTCAAACTAACAATTATATACAGGCATTATATAAAAAGAAGTAAAAAAAAAATAGAGGGACAGTAAATTATAAAGTAAGTTGCAAAAATGTTTTCTTCTTCCTTTGGTTGTAGTAAAACTAGTCGTAATTAATATGACGCTACAATGTCGGCATTTTTAAAATGATTATATTTGACTGGTCGAAAGAGGACAACATTCGTATCTATGCATTTTTCTCCCTTATTTTTGGTAAACACTTTATCAGTTGTTAGTTTGCATATATATATATATATATATATATATATATATATATATATATATATATATATATATATTTATAAATTTATGAATAAAAAAAGAAATTCGTATTGATTTCATAATTCCACCGTGGTTCTTCTTTTTCTATACGCCGTGTCCCTTCAGGACATGGGTAAACATTTCTCTCTACCACTTGTGGCCTTTTCTTGCATTTAGTAAATTTTGACATCTCTCCTAATCCCTGTTCTGCTGACCATTTACGCATGCTCGTTTGGCAGTGGTTATGCGCTTATTTTCCCTGTCCCTCTTTTTCTTTCCTTTTTTTTTAATCGGTTTCACCCCATGCAAGGTACTAAAGCCACTAAGATGTGGGGGACATTAATAATGAACGGAAAGATTAATCAGGAGCACGTTAGATAGCGCGTGACATTGCATTTAAATTTACATATTAAAGTTGGCTGGAAAGCATGAAGCCAGAAGGTAGTTCAACAAGCGAGAAGTGCGAGAAAAGAAACTGTTAGCATATAAGTTACGGCTACATCTAGCCAGCTCGAGTGTAAATTGATGAGACCTAGGCACTAGTACTGCGCTTAAATTCGGCCGTGGGAAAGTAACTGAAACCGAGTCGCCAGATCAGCACCAATAATATTGCTGATTCTTTTTTGGATCTTATCAAGGAGCTCAAGGTAAACAGCAGAGGTACTAGACAATATGTGGCTGTAATATTCTAAGCATGAACGAATGGTAAGCTTATAGATATGTAAGATAGATTCCGGGGAGAAAGATTGTCTTGCACGGCGCAGTGAACCGACCTTCTTCACCACCAACTGACCTAGCAATGGATTCAGTAGTGTCTTTATTCTTGTCGGTGTCGTGTTTTCTAAGCATTCTTTCCTCAGTATGCACCCTAGTAATTTCAATTATCCTTTTCTGATACAAGTTCACATCTTTTTAAAATCTTGTAAATATAAAATTATTCTTCTAAATAGGTACCTCTACTAATGCGCGATACCTAGGTTTCAAAATAAATTTTGAAAATTAAAAAGCCTTCATTTTAGCTGTAATTGAAAGCGAAAGGACTGAATTTACTACCTCCATTAGGCAAAATAATCTCTGGTGTATTTCAAACAGAAAATATATTGATTAGAATCGTTCACGTTTTTAGTTAAAAATAACTGATTATCACCCTTTTTTAGTTATCATTTATCACAATGTAATTTTCTTTATTAAATCTTCAAAAAATAAAATATACTTTTCTGAAACTTTATTTGAGGAATATTAGCTGATTTAAAGTATAATTAATGTGATTTGAAAACAAAAATCATTTACTTTAAGTTTAAAATAACATAGAGATGGATTTTTAAAACAAAACAGTAGCGGTGATTACGTTCTTGTTCCGTGATTGACGAGCTATAACAAGCGCTGATAAGACGTTGACATGTTTATTGTTGTTCTACGGAGACTTTATTTGTTAAAACATAATATAAGAAAATCACGGGTGAACGCCTTGCTATATAATTTGTATGTACTCAGTAATCTTAAAAAATGTTGGAAAATATTCTCCGTAATTAAATTTTAGGTGTGTTGACTTTAAATTCAGTATAGTCATCAATCTTATTTTCTGGTAGTGTCGTGTGTACATACATTAAAAATAAGCTCGTTTATACACATAAAAAACATTGTTTTTAAAAATCTTGGTGGGTGATGATTTGTATTAAACTTTTCAATTTCTGCCTAGTAAATATAGTCTTCAATTAATAACTTACTAACCTAACGCGATCAAATTGATAATTTTAAAAAGATTTTTGAAAATTTATAAATTATTATATTTTTAATAATTGAAAATAACTCATGTAAAAATTTATTATTCATCGAATTTTTTCCTTAAGAATATTATGACCTTAATATATATTATTTACAAAAGCAATTACAAGTTTATCTAATTCAATAATGTCATCGTTTTATTATTATTGCATTCCTTTATTTTGCTATTCGGAGCAGATTTTCGGTAAAAGCATTAATTGTTTGAAAAAAATGGATGATTTAACTAATAAAACACAGTTTGCGATTAGAATTTAATTTCTCGAAATTTTATTAAATTAATTAAGGACGAAACAAAAAACAAAAACTATATTTTTATCAAGATTTTCTAAAAATAATAATTCTAAAAATAGTTTCATTCATTTATGAATTATTCTTGTAAGTTTAATTAAACTGACAATTATTCGATTTTTGCAAGAATTTCCAAATTAATGTGTTATTTTAGCGGATAAAGTTTGTTACACCACTAACGAAAAAAAAAAAAAAAAACAAGATTTAGAAAATCTAGAAAAGGATTAAAAAATTTTAAAAATAATTAAAAAATACTTTGGTCTTTTCTCTCAATAATGACAAACATTTTGACGATAAGTTTTTCGTTTTATTAAGTTTGGGGCAGTGGAGTAATGGATAGCGGCTGGGATTGAGGAATTGGAAAGAAGAAATTCAGTCGAATCCATTACATTCACTTACGTGCTTATACCTTTGGGAAAGGTATGAATCCTCGTCTACATCCCACAGCTATGTGTAAATAGAAGGACAGACCGTGTTCTATAGCCTTGGATGACAACTTGTCTACCGCAGAAAGAAATGGCAACCTATTGCAGGAAAAAATCTGCCTCGTTAGTCATGTATCGAAAGATATATGATCACCTAAGCGTGTATCCCGCATGGCACATAACTGACTGACTGAAAGGGATAATACCATTGGAAAAGGTCTGAATCACTTCTTCTCCCCCAGCTATGGGTAAATAGTAGGACAGACCATAGGTGGCAACTGGTTTACCTCAGAAAGAAATGACAAACTACAGCAGGAAAAAATCTGCTTTGTCAGTCATGTATCGAAAGATACATGATCACCTAAGCGTGTATCATGCATGGCATATAACTTGACTGAAGTTTGGGGCATTTTTTCGTCATGCTATGCTGTATTTTCAGCGAATTATTGTACCTACTTCTAAATTTAATAAATAGTGTTTAATATTTTTGTTGTTAACTTAACATTCTTATCTTTTTTATCTCTCTCTCCCTTTTTTTCTAACGCTCTGGATTGGAATTATGAACCTTATTCTGAAGCGTTTAGAAAATAATTATTCTGGCGTTTCTTTGTTCCCTTTCTCTTCTCTTAATCCAGCTTACATTCGCTTAGGTACGACACGAAGACCTATTTGAACTGTTAGGAAAACTTTATTTGACAAAAAGATAGAACAACTCAGAACAATGACAGGGAACAAACCGCCTATATACGGGTAGAAAGTTAATTGAATAATCCACCAAATAGAAAAGGAACGTAAAATATTTACTCACCGGATTTGTTTAACTGTAAAGCAGAAGGTGATTCTAAAAGAACTAGGATTCCTACCAGGATTTATTATAAGTGGGCACAATCTTAATGACATTAGCTTTGCATATTCTTTCTATCTCGACCCGTCCTTCTCTCTCTTGATTTATATCTAGCTATCAATCTCAACCCTTCCACCTCACTTTCTATCTCCCCCTCTCGCCTATTCTCTCGCTGACGCCATTTGTATCTATCTATATTGGCTTATCCATCACTCTCTCTCTCTCCTTCAAATCTCACTGTCGTTACTCGTCTGACATTTGATTCATATTTAGCTATCAATCTAAGCCCATCCATCCATGTCTCTCTCTTTCTCTCTCTCTTTCTCTCTCTCTTTCTCTCTCTCTTTCTCTCTGTCGCTATCATTCTATCTATCTCTGCATTTCTATCTATCTATCTATCTATCTATCTATCTATCTATCTATCTCAGTCTGTTTATATCTATCTCAGCCTATTCATATCTATCTATCTATCTATCTATCTATCTATCTATCTATCTATCTATCTGAATCCGTTCATTATCTATCTATCTATCTATCTATCTATCTATCTATCTATCTATCTATCTATCTCAGTCTGTTTATATCTATCTCAGCCTATTTATATCTATCTATCTATCTATCTATCTATCTATCTATCTATCTATGTCAGTCGGTTCGCATCTCACTCTGATCATAATGAGAGAAGCAAAATTATAATAGAAATTAAAAACAACCTGACAAAGTTTTACAGAAACTTTCTCTGTCTGTCTCTCTCTGTATATGGGTGCGCGTGTGCGTGCGCGTGTGCGTGCGCGTGTGCGTGCGTGCGTGCGTGCGTGTATGCGTGTGTGTGCGTGTGTGTGTGTGTGCTTGAGTGTGTGTGAGTATGAGTCGTTATCATCGTCCAAATGACAGTCCTAAGAAATTTCCTTCTCCCCACGACACCGCTTCCTGCATAGTCCATTCTTAGACGCCAAACCCAGCAATTATCAAAATGGCTGACATTAAGGTGGGTTAAGCCTGGTTCATATCCCATTGTTGGCGATGATTTTAGGATAGCGAGCAGTCTCTCTTTCTCACCTGTCATTTTCTTACTTAGTGTCTTGAAAGTTTCTTCTTCTTCTTCTTCTTCTTCTTCTTCTTCTTCATCATCATCATCATCATCATCTTCAGCGTCTTGAAAAACTTTTCTTCTTTTACTTTTTCTTCTTCTTCTTTAGTGACTTGAAAAACCATTTCTTTTTCTACTTCCTTTTTCTTCAGTGCATTGAAATTTTTTTTTTCTGTGGTGATTTGAAAGCTATTTTTCTTTTTTTCTTCTTCTTCCTCTCCCTTTTCAGATTCTTGAAAACTTTTCTTCTTCTTTGTCTTATTCTACTTTGTCTTGAAAACTTTTTTTTCTTCTTCTTCTTCTTCTTCAGTGTCTTGAAAGCCTTTTCTTCTACTTCTTTTTCACAGTCTTGAAAATCTTTCCTTCTTCTGTGTCTTGAAAGCGGGTCTTGGAACCTTCTTAACTTCTTCTTCTCCTCCTCCTCCTTCTTATTTGTCTTCTTCTTCTTCTTCTTCTTCTTCTTCTTCTTCTTCTTCTGTCTTGAAAACTTTTTGTCTTCTTCTTCTTCTTCTTCTTCTTCTTCAGTGACTTGAAAGCCTTTTCTTCTACTTCTTTTCACAGTCTTTTCTTCTTCTGTGACTTGAAAGCAGGTCCTGGAACCTTCTTCACTTCTCCTCCTCCTCCTCCTTCTTCTTCTTCTTCTTCTTCTTCTTCTTCTTCTTCTTCTTCTTCTTCTCCTCCTCCTTTATTAAGTCCTCCAGTCATTGTATTTTCACACTCGTTATATCTCATATCCTGAACTGGATACGATATGGCTGCAAGTAACCTGCGCACTCTTGTACTTTTCTTCATTTCGTTTCTTCCTCATGTTTCCGCATCTTACGTTTTTGTTTACAGGACACTTTCGACCTTTTCCAAGTTCTACATCAATCTTTGACCCAACAGCTACCTTCCCGATTTAGCCTCTGTCAAAATCCAGATATTTTCCCAGCTTTACACGCTCAATTTCAGTCTGCTGTTTGACTTATAACCCATTCGATTCGTAGGAGCATCACATGTCATGCAGCTGTACCTAAATCGAGATAGCTGGAAGAAGCCTATCTCTTTTAAGGTTTGTTTTCCTTCTCTTAGTTTCTGCCACCGTAGGCAAGAGAGCTTTGTCTTCCCTTAACCCCTAGATAAAGCAAAATTGATTCTTGCCTTTTCCAATGACATTAGTGAGAAATGGACGAAACAGAATCTGAACTCATCACGCCGATTCCCCTTTGCAGCGACGATGACCGCCCCGCTACCTGTATAGCCTCATCGGCGATTATTATTTCGCAATTTTTTTAATTTTTTTTATTATTTACAATAAACGAATCATGTCTTTTGGTCTTGACTGTTTAAATCCGTTTGAATAGAAAATGACTACCACATATAATTGGAATAAAAAAAAAGTATAATATAATCAAGATATTAGCTTTCACTACTAAAACCAAAAAGCTTGGAAAAAAAACTCCATTATTAGGAGAAAGAGCTATAACAGTTAGTAGACTAGAGAAATTTATTTTTTTCTGAAAACTGTTTTATAGAAAAAAGTTTTCATCCGACAGTAATGCTGACTTTTCGGCAAAAAATGACGAATGCTTTCTGGGTGAAAATGACTAATTTAACCATGAGTATTAGCATTTATAGATGCAGAAATAGAAACTTCATGCACAAACCACCATTCATTGGATTAATCTGTCATCTTCTGCGCTTATAGCGTGTCTCCATGATAGCAAATTCTGTTCTCGTCTGCTTCTTCCATTTAAATCACGCGTTGTTTTTAGAGCTTAATCATTTACAAATGGTTCTTTTTAAAAAAAATAAAAAATAAAGAAAACTAAATTGCAAATGAAATATTAATATCAAATAATATAATATAGGCCAATTTAATATAACGAATGCTTCCTTGTCTTCTGGCCTTGATGGGTAACCGGTTTGAATTTCAGGCTTAAAAAATAGTTTTATTCATGAAAACATTCTAATTTTTGTCTATATAATTTATTTGTGCAGTCAATTATTCACTCGTTGAATGATCACAGGAGTGGTAAATGCTTACTGACAAGAAATCTTCTAAAAAATCAAGCACAGACACCAACATAAATGCGAGACAAGGATGCATCTTCTTCTCGAATTTATTCAACTTATGCAACGATGCGATCATAAAAGAAATATGACTATTTAATATCGGTGGACTCACTCTTAACAACATAAGTAAGATACGCGGATGGCATTGTGCACATGTAACATTAAAAGAGGAAATTGCAAGAACTGCTAGACACAGTATCAAATGAAAACAGGAAGAAAGGACTATTGAATATTAAAGAACTTATAATATATGCTCGTCAGCAAGAGAGACAAAAAGAGGCTACAAATTAGAAATCTGAGAATTGTTATATTAAAACAATGGCAGATATGATATAAAAAATCCCAAGATGCATTGTAGACGTGTAAGATACAATTTAAAAGCAAAAATATTAAGAAACAGAAGAAAATCGTGTTTAACTAATACGATTGCTTGAATGCTTGTTTTTTACGGCTTATCACCCCTTTGTGAAGCCGAAATATTTTGGATTGACCGACTGATGTTATGTTTTACGTCTCATCAACCTTTCGCAGGGTATTTAAAGCCCCAAAATATTTTATGTTGTAAGAATTTTTTTGAGATAATAATGATTTACTGAAAGAAAACCTACTATTTGATCCATTTCTGGGGAAAAGATTCATACATTTCTCAAGAGTATTTGCGCAGATGTGAATATAACGAAGAGGAAAGAATTAGAACTCGACTCTTCGATACCAAAACTGTTATCCATTACACCACCTGCACACCCAATCTTATTGGAACTGGTATTTCCAAGCGGTCACCCATCTTGGTACTGTTAAAGCTCGATGTTGCCTAAATACGGTAATCGTACGAGAAACGGTATTTTGATATGGCCTTTAACTGTTGTGAAATATCAGTTTTCTTATATCACAGAGAATGTGGAACATTGTCTTCACTGACGAACAAGCGACTTTAGACAAGAGAGATGCGGATCTACAGGAGAATGCTGGGAATTGCATGTGGGCTACGAGGAAGCTTTGAGGTAAAAAAAGGAACGAAAAGGTGACTAGTTATCATTTAGAGGCAGTTGAAATTTCTTGAACGTAAAGAGGAAGCAGGGCTTGGAGAATATAACACTTGCAGGGCATATTACAGGCAAGAGAGTTTTTGAAAGCATTTCACCGCAACCAAGACAATAATGTCGCTGAAATGCAAATGGTTACAGGCAGTGAAACAGAATGAGAAGAATTTAGGAGAACGAATCAGAAACACGAAACAAGGGATAAACCTCTACTCCTGTTCAAAAGACTGAGCAAGGAGCATGGACTGAGCTATAGGCAAATTTATCTACTCCACTATTGGAAGTAATAGTAAGGGGAGAAAAGTTACGGCAAAAGATAGGAAGGTGTAAAGAGCCATAACTGCCATGTCTTAAAGGGACGCGGTATATAAAAGAATTTGATTGGATGGCGCTTCTTCATCGTTCCCAGTTTTTCGATAATGACTGGCACAACCCCAGCTTTTTTTTTCTATATTTCGTGTCCCTTCAGATTTTTGGCGATCATGGCTTCGGTCCTTCCACAGATTTCCAGTTCTCTAGCCTTGTTACAGAGTTCTTTGTAACTCTTCCAAGTGATCTCATAATTATCAGTACTGTTGTCATCACGATCAACATGTACTCATCTTTTCTTCTTCATTCTGGTGATCTTGGCGGGGTGAGACAGAAAGAATCTACTTATGTTTTTAGGATTGTGCCTACCAATAAAAAAAAAAATCCTTGTAGGACTTCTAGTTCTTTTAATTTTATTTTTCCAAAATATTTCATGCGTGATCTTCTAAGGCACGGAGAAATAATGGATAGCAGTTCGGATTGGGGAACCGGAGAGCCGAGTTCGAATTCCAGTCGAATCCATTACATTCACATAAGTGCTAATATCCTTAGGGAAGATATGAATCCTCTTCTTCAACCCCCATAATAGAAATAGCCTTGGATGGCAATTGATCTTGGAGGACAACTCCTAATTAAAAAAAAACAAAACCAAAAAACAACATTACATTCATTTACGTGGTAATAGACATATATACATATATATTTATGTATGTGTGTGTGTGTGTGTGTGTGTGTGTGTTGCGATGGATAAATTGTCGTCTAAATTATGCAAAAATGAAAATAAAACTGAAATCTCATTTTAAGTTATATTAACCAAAATTACAAAAAAAAAAAAAAAAATCTTGAATTGCCAAAGAGTAAATTTATTTAAAAAAAATATCGCCGTTGGCTTCAACCAAGGCCTCTAGACGACTTCAGAAAGATATGAATCCTCTTCTTCTCCTTTCCCCAGCTATGGTTAAATAGCAGGACAGACCGGGTTCTTTAACCTTAGATGGCAACTGGTTTACCGCAGAAAGAAATGGCAACCTACTGCGGTTAAAAAATCTGCCTCATCAGTTATGTATCGAAAGATGCATGATCGCCTAAGCGTGTATCACGCATGGCACATAAATGACTGAATCTTATGTCGTAGGACGAAAAGAAAATTATGCTCCTCCTGTAGGTCAGATTAATTTTTTTTTCCAAATCATTGAATCAATTTTTGACCGGATTAAAAATAAGTCGGTCATCTGCGGTGGGGAGGACTTCCAGATTTGAGACTGTATTTCTTTTGTTTCTGTCCAGGTAAAAAAAAATATTTCTGTCCAGGTAAAAAGATGACGTACTGTAACTACAAATTGAAGCTTTGTTCGCTTAATGCCCGCCGCACAGCATATACTCGGCGGCGGTAATTTGCCAAAAGTAAAGACAGGGGTCGGTAGATGTCGTTCCTATTATTTGTCTCCTTGACGACAGTGTCTTCGGTTCATATGACACTTAAATGCAGCCTTGGAACCAAGATTTAATTTGTATGTGGACGACGTATGGGACTCGACCTTAAACAAATTTGCTTGGTTGTAGAGAGTCCTCGCACTTGTGAGTCAAGGGTTGGTGACCATCGCTCGGAAGAGGGATTGATGACAGAGGCACGGGCAAAGTGAGAGAAACAGAGAAAGTGCTTATTTCAAAACTTATATGTCGCTTATTTTGCAATATGATGAATGTATGCCCAGCTATGCATTAATTGGACAGAGAGAAATGTATATACAGTGTAACCAGGATATAAGAGACCCGGATATAAGAGAAACCCGGATATAAGAGAGATTTTCTCTGGTCGCAAATTAGAGCCTGTGTTAATGTATATAAAATAGACCAAACCCGGATATAAGAGAAACTCGGATATAAGAGACTTCTTCTCCGGTCCCGACAACTCTCTTATATCCGGGTTACACTGTATATGAATTAAAGACATCAGGAAAACTTTTTTTTTTTTTTTTACCGACGCGTTTCGTCCTCCGTCAGAGGAGAAAACGTGTCAGTAAAAGAAAGTTATACTTTTGTTTAAAATTTATATTGCTTTCTTACAGATAAATTATTATATATATCTGAACTTTTACGCACACACACAAACACACACACACACACACACACATATATATATATATATATATATATATATATATATATAAACATGAAACTCGCGTCGTGCTATCGACGTTGAATATTAAATATATTCATTAATATATATATATATATATATATATATATATATATATATATATATATATATATATATATATATATAT